TACGAAGAAAACAAGAAACAGCTTCTTCGTTCTCGCTATTCTCACCTGACCCCACTTATTGTGATACTAATAAGAAAAAAAGAAACAGCTTCTTCGTTCTCGCTGTTCTCACCTGCAGGGCCTGCGAAATCTCGTTTTCGACGTACTCCGACGATGAAGAGATGGACGTTCGCGCCATATACCCTAGAGCCTTGGCCACCTGTTGAACGCGAAACCGTGTTCATGCGGGGGGGGGGGGGGGGGGGGGGGGAGGCGTACAAATATTTTTCATGCATTGCCGAGAGCCTTGGCCAACTTTTGAATGTGAAACCGTGTTCATTTGTGTATGTGGGGGTGTTTTCGTGGTTTGCAAGACTACTGACCACGCGTCCCTCGAGAGGACGGATTATTGTTCCCACAGGACCGAATCACCGATGGCCACTTCTATCGTGTTGACATGGAGGAGACTTCAGTACTAGAAACAGAGCCTTGGCCACGTGATTACCGCGAAAGCGTGCGCATGCGGGGGATTCTTCACTATTACCGTAGATTGCGTAAGATAGCACACCCCCTGGACCGACTTTTGAAGTTCGTTATCTCGCCAGGACAGGCAGTGACGGTGTCGAACATGGCGGAGTTGGAACCGTCTCGTCGATAGCTTTCCGAAAACGAATACGTGAATGTTTCGGCATGCTCTTCGTCGCGGAGAAATCGAGCTTTGAAACTCGGTCCAGGGGTGTGCTATCTTATGCAACCCACGGTACCATCGACCGCACCAACCGGCTGACCTATCACAAGACGGCAGTTCTCAGCGCAGCTAAAAAAGTGCGAGTGTTACGTGGATGCCTCAACCATCGGCATCGACTACGCTAACCGGCTGACCAATCAAAAGACGTCGGTCTCAGAACATGGACAAAAAACGGCCGCATTCCCGAGACATTCAAGTTTACGATGAAGTATGACAGGGAGGGGGTACGCAGACCGTATCATGACCAAACTTCCCCGATTTCATGCTTTATCCAACATATTTGCTGTATACAAAAAATCTGCGAAGGGCACCGAAGAAAAAAGAGTGGTTGCAGCTTCACTGCAAAAAAAAACCCGGCTGGGGTTCGTCGGATATTTTAGGTGACATGGCACAAGAGAACACACCCCCTGGACCAATCTTCAAAGCGCGACTACTCCGCAGTAAAATGAGTGGCGTTGGCAAAAACGTCGGCGTTGGACCCTTCCCGTCGAGATCTTACCGAAGACACATCGTTCGACCTGTGGCATCCACTTCCTCGTGGAGTAGTAAGCATATAGCTTTGAAAATCGGTCCCGCGGGGTGTGGTGTCTTGTGTCATGTCACCCTCGGCATGTACACTGGCAAGTCTCACCTCGTTGAGCAGCTCGTAGTTCTCGCTGGTCTCCAGCGTGTAGGATAGATGCAGGGAAAACTTCTTCTTCGTAGCCTCCGCCTGCATGCTGGCCGTGCCAACCAGCGCGTAGATGGCGGCAACGGCGCCGAGTTTCTTCGCGAGCTCCTGCCAAACATCGGGAACAAAAAAAAAACATGCGCGGGCTTTGTTCGGAACCGATGTTGCTGGATGTTGCAACGGAGAATCGTAGAAATGTTAGTTGGTCATAGTGCAGCACTATCAATTCATCGCCAATCCACCACGGACTCTTCTCTGCTGTGAACGAGATGGATTTGCTGTGAAAAACAAAAAATAACGTTGGTGGGGGTGGCCAAGCACTACCAGGCATCCCACAAGGGGTCGAACTGAAGGGCCCCACCTAGTGATGGTTGCCACGGAAGTTTTTTTGTTTTTTGTTCTCCCATATCATTGGACTCTGTCGTCAGCCCCTCTGGCCCTCATCCTCCACTTCTACAAGCTAGACGACCCACCCGGGGTCTCATAGGAGGGGGAGGTTGGACCCCCTCCTGCGGAAGTGTGCAGGTACGGAGATCGATTCGGGGGACACAACAACAACAGCACATGCTCACAATATGACCGTAAGAGCCCACACGGACTCGCAGTGCCGTTTTTTTTTTTTTTCTCAAGGGATTGAAGAACAAGCTATCTTGACGCTGGCTCTATTTTAATAGTTAACTCCAGTATATGAAAGAAAAGAAACCCTCCCCGCCGTTTGGCTTCATGCGTTCTACTGTTAAGAGTAGAGGACACCATGAAGAGGCGTCCTGTGTGCTGGCAAGTTCAGGGTTGTCCACTGGAGCTGAAGTACCGAAGGTCGCAGCAGCCTCTGAAGACGACATTTGCGCCGGAACTCGCTGGAACGACACACTACTGTTCACAGCCGTGCTCACCGCCACGGACCGAAAATCCCTGAACGGAGGGTCGTCAGCAGAAGCTCTAGTGGCATCCGCTACAGCAGTCAACACTTCGTTCAGGAGATTGGGGTCAGTGGCGGAGAGCACAACAAGCAGTACAAGACACAAGGGTGTCTGTCGAACTTGCGGAGTTTGGCGGAGATTTTAGTCCGCTACAACGACCCTCGATATCACCGCACGAAGGAAGTGTATTTGAGGGTGCTGACACCCCCCCTCCCCGCTGCTATTGAATGTCCTCTAGTGATACAGTATCAGTAGAATGCGTAAGAATCCATGCAAATGTACAGTAGTGCAAAACCGACCTTGTTTGAGCGCCTGCCGATTCGTCTTTTGACTTGAGTGTAGAGTGGTGTGAGTAAAACGGAGGTTGCTGTGAGAGGTGCAACTCCAATGCTGCTATTTTTGGTACTGCAGCCGCTGTTGGTAGCATCTGCAACAGCGGCAAAAACCGTTTCGGAGCCGCTGGCCACATACCTATCTACCGCGTGCAGTTCAAATTTGAAACACCGCTGAAAAACATTACACCTAGTAGATCTCTCGTACCTATTGTTGTTTCTCACATTAGCTCTAAAAAAGAAAGATTGGGAGCCCGTGGTCGTACGTATGTGAATGCCTCGTATGTAGACTATGCCGTGGACATTTACTGCTGCAACAACACCGAGAGAGAATACACGACGAATGTTTGTTTGTTGACAGCATCAACACCGCCATTAATCAGCACCAAAAGCGGGGGGGGCAACGTTGACAAAAGTACAACAAGGCGCGGGGACGCAATGAACTTAATTTTCGTTAAAGAGGAGCAAGCCAGGCTCATCATCCCCACAGCAAACAAAGCAAACAAGGGCATGAAACGTACAGAGAGAGAGGAGAGAGAGAGAGAGAGAGAGGGAGAGAGAGAGAAAGAGAGAAAGAGAGAACCAGAGCTGATTGCGAGCGAGGGCAGCAAAAACAGCAGTAGAGTTGGGAGCTGTCGTTCAGGGACATCCGCGACACAACCATGGTACTGCTGTGTAAGTTGATGGTGTGAGTGTGCTAAACAGAGAAAATCAAGCCAAAGAGGCGACCCAAAAGCCCAAGAGAAGAGGTTCACGCGGTATGTGTGCATATGCTGTGGCAGTGCGTCGAGAAAACAATAAGCATCTGCTTGCTTCGTCTTCGCCAGCTCAGCGGGGATGCAGCGCTACACACTAAACAGGAGATTGCTACGTGAGCGCACGCGCTTGTTTACGCTGGCCCACTGATAGATCCACCTGTTGAACTGCTGTACAAGGCTGCCACTGCTATTGTGGTTGCTCGTCTGTCCTTCGCCAGCCGCCGGGGGTCTTGCAAAGAAGCAAACAACAACAACACAACGCTCACCGATTCAGCCAGCATGTCGACCACCCGCTGATGGAGCTGGAGCTCGAACTTCTCGAAGCTCTCGGTGGACAGCTCCCTTGCCAGCCGCTCAACGCACACCGTCAGCCTCTCCGCGGCATCCGCCCTCGCGCTGGGGTCGGTCTCCCGCCTGAGCACCGTGAGGCATGACTCCCAAGCCAGCAGCTTCTCATCCGTGATGAGGTCGAACACATAGGCCGTGCCGGGGTCCCACGATGGCAGGTCCATGACACAGCAGTAGTAGCAGCAGCAGCACGGCAAGCGGCGAACACCCGCTTCCAGCTGCGTCTCTCTATCCCGCGAGATCACGCGTGTCTGTATATTAGGAGTTTCCACTAGCCGAGGGGCAGGGGACACGCAAATAGCATAAAACATCTCTCTTCGTGTATTTGAAGCTGATCGTGGTGGTATCCCTCCCCTCTTCAGCGGAGATACTGAAAATGAGATACTGAGATACGTCCTGTGTGCTGGTGGCGATAGACCACTGGTTGGTACAGATTTCTTCTGGTTCAGCACCCTATGTACGTAGGTTTGTGTGCGGTGATGCGGCGTGCCTCTCTGCGGTGAGTGAGCGCGAGAGCAGAAGTTAAAGTAGCGATTTGTCCATGTCATCTCCACATTTCTCTTCTGACTCTGATTGCTGTGGGGTTGCTTGCCAACACGCAAATGAACAACTGCAAACAAACAAACGTCCCCCTTGACCGAAAACACCGCATGCATGTTTCCGATTTCTAGTATCTTTTCTCACACAAGCTAACATGGCACAATCAAGCTGGCCAATCAATCGACAGCTGCAAGCAGCACCATTGCAGAGTGAAAGAAGACGCGTTGAGTTGCTGCGTTTTACTCCTGCTGAGTTGGATTTGGGTGCAAGGATCACGGTGGGGTGTATTTGCCCGCAGTTGGTTGTTGGCGAATCCCGACCGCTGTCTATCTACTACTGCTGTATGCCCAGTCTATGGTATACAACAAGCACGTCGGATTTTCCTGCCATCATGCGACACGGAAGGCGTCCACGTCAGTTGGACCAGGGTACGGACTACGGACAGGAGTAGACGATTTTAAATGTGAAGACACGAACAACAACCACAGCAACTGCTGTGTCCTTACCACAGCAGAGCAGTGCTGCTGCTATTGTACTCCATGCGCCTGCTGTCTACATGTGGTCTATGTAGACTACGCACCGGTAGGTATCCGCATGCATGTAGACTACACGTAGCCCAAAAGAAGAAATCCATGCGCCCATAGGGGTCGGAGAGCGTTGAGGAAGCAACTAGGGAGTCCTCCCTGTAGGAGAAGCCTTTCATCGATGGTATGGAAGTACACTACTGTGTTGAGTAGCTTGGTGCGCCCGGCGCAGTTGTAGACGGCAAAAATAAAAGAACCGCGCGGCGAGTTTGCCGGCAACGATAAAATACAGTAAACTGCCCGCGGATGTGGTATCCAGCCGCATCTGTGATGTTCCGGAGCGTGATGGCTCTGATGTGTCGAAGCTGGTGCTGTGATAGCTGTTGTGATGGCGTGATAGCCTAGAGGCGTGACAGCCTGGCAGCGTGATAGCCGGTGGATATGTGTGGACACGGGCGTGATAGCCCGGAGCGTGATAGCCGGGAAAAGGAAGACGAAAAATATCCAAGGGCACGTGGTCAACACCGTTGCAGGCACGTATACCCAGGAANTTCAAAAGGGCGGCGAGGGCGTGCCGGCACTCTGGAGGCGTGAAGGACGCAGCAAGAGCGCTCCTAGCCGATCAACCGTCACCGGGGAACGACGAGACATGGGCACGTCTGAAAGCCAAATTTCCGCATGAGGATCCCGTACAAGTGGAGCAGGCCATCGCCGAAGCCATAGCTGCAAGCCGCACCGAGGAGGAGGAAGGAAGCGCCCCGAGATGGAGGCCAGAAACCGAGTTCGATCCACAAGTACTCCTTCAAGTCATCAACAGGAGAAGCTCTAACTCTGGAGCAGGAAATGACGGGCAACGTTTCTCCCACCTTAAGTCCATCGTCAACAATAAAATTGGTCGGGAAGAGTTCAGCAACGCGATGTCGCCCCTTTGGAGGAGGCTCATCAACGACCCCAACGCGTTCCCACCGGAGTTCTGGACTCTTTGGAAACAATCCAGTCTAATCGCCCTCGGTGAAAAGTGCCGTCCAGTGTGCATTGGAATGACTTGGAGAAGGCTGATTGCAGCGGGAACGGTCAGGGAGTGGAAACCGAAACTGGAAGAAATATTTCGGGAAGCGGACCAATTCGGAGTGGCGGTAGCTGGAGGAGTTGAACAAGTTGCGATGGACGCACAACTGGTTCATCAGACAGGTCATTGGGTAGTCCAGACGGATTGCTCAAATGCCTTCAACACGGGCAAGCGCACCGCCATAATGGCCCAGGCCGCAAAGAGCGTCCCAGATCTCGTGGGGTACATCGCCAGGTGTTACGACGAAATCCCGGCAAAGGCGATATACACGATGGACTCCGGAGCGCGTCGGACGATCGAGTGCAAGGGCGGTGTGCAGCAAGGAGATGGAATGGGACCGCCTCTGTTCTGCTTCATCCTAGTCCCGATCATCTTGAAGCTTAGAGCCAAGTACGACCACCTCGGGGTATGCTTGAAAGCTTATATGGACGACATCAGCCTGCACTTCAAAAATATCACAGCGGAAAATATCCAGGTGATACCGGACCTCGTCGACGAACTAGAAGCTGTGGGCATCATCGTCAACAGGGGGAAGAGCTCAGCGCTTCCCCCACCAGGGCACGACGTGACGCCAGCAGAAAGGAGGCTACTTGGCGATGCAGGCCTACCGATTGCGGAGGAGGGCATCACAGTTGTGGGAGTCCCCATTGGGACGGATGCCTACGTCGAGGATATCGCAATGAAAGTGATAACTGAAGGGGGTGCAGACAAGCTTGCTCGCATGCTGGTGCGCATGCCAGACAA